CGTGACAATCTCATTTTGTGGCATCCTAACAGTCCACCACTCACCGCCCAGTCTCTGTCCTTTCAACCGTGAACTGTTTTCCAACATGTGGGCAGATGCCCTGAGAGGTTGGCGGCACTGGCACCTGAATCACAATGCCCAACTGCCCAAAGAAATTGGTTTCCAATTGGGATCCAATCTCTCACAGGTTTACGATGGTTTTTAAGTACCATCACGGGCAGATGAGTGAAGGGCGGGCATCTACTTCATCAAGCTACACCCTCATACCTTTCATCATCACGGTAGCACTTGCCCTCACCAAACAAATGCTGTGTACTGCCATGCTATGATTGAATACAATATGTGTAGCTATCAGGGCAGTGAGGGCAGGTAAGTAGTGATAGACTTCGCTATGCGCAGGGGTTGTACTGACTTCCTTGGTAAGACGACTTTGATGAGCCTAGAAGGCGGTCACAATAGGGGAATACGGCATAAACATTATACAAATAATGACACAGTGCACTGCACAACCAGGGACAGAGTAAAGCCTTCAGTGCACAAAAGGTAAACGACCGCGCAAAACGAGTGCGTAAACCAAATTGAATGTTACGGGCTATACAGCCCAACCCCCTAGGGGCTATACAGTACAGCCCTCCTAAACCCTATGGATCCCTATGGGCTATACAGCGCAAACCCCCTTAGGGCTATAAAGCCCTCTTAAACCCTGCGGGCTATACGGCCCAACCCCCCTTGGGGCGAAAAAGCCATCCTAAACCCTTCTGGGCTTTGCAGCCCAAAACCCCCCTTAGGGCTATACAGCCCTCTTAGACCCTATGGGCTGGACAGCCCAAACCTCCCTCTTTGAACCCTACAGACTATACAGCCCAAACCCCCCGTCTCCTAAAGCCTATGGGTTGTACAGCCCAAACCCCCTGGGGGCTATACAGTACAGTTCTCTTGAACCCTACGGGCTATACAGCCCAAACCCCCTGCCTCCTCAAGCCTATGGGCTATACAGCTCAAACCCCCTAGGGCCATACAGCCCTCCTAAACATCACTGCACAACCACTGGGCAAACATCAACCAACAATAACAAAGCGCAACCACTCAATGAATGCACAACCACTAGTTTTGAAGGCTGTGTTGCGTAGCTTTTAAGGCTATATTGTTGTTCAATGTGCTCGTCAACCGCCTGAATGTCCAAACCTTTGCCGAGACAGGGCTTGCGATAATCAACAGGATGCCAAGAACCGCAGGTGAAACTCTTCTCAGTTGAGTTGCGTTCATTGGGTGGTTGAACCAGGGAGGATTGCATTCTTTTCACAACGGCACGCTGCATGCTCAAAAGGAGTAGGTAGTCTTACTCTATAATGGCGGCCATAGTATTCTCGAAGAACATGGTACTTTCCCTAAATAGGGGAACCCCAAAATACTAAATACTAGTCCTCATTACTAAATACAACCCAACTGTGGAAAATTTGCGGCTGCTTCAAGGCCTCGCCACGCTTGTACCGCTGACCTCGGAACCTCAGCAGCTCGTGCGGCTCAGCTCAAGAAAGAACACGAGAATACAAGGAGGAACTTCGGGGATGCTGGGGAGGGTTTAGGGTTTAGGGTTTAGGGCTTGGGTTTAAGGACTTCGGAGATGTTGGGGAGGGGGGTGCAGGGCGTCATGTTCCTTCATTAAGGCTGAATGGGTCCTCAATAAGGCTTATTAAGGCTTTACGCTTCCAGACAATGGAGACAAGGAAGGTTGTGTATACAAGGGGGACCCCTTTGTTCAAATAAAGACAAATCAAGGATCCTTTCATCGGAAACGGGCAACTTTCCCGCAGTGCTTTCCTTTCGTTTCGTGCCTTATTTCGCGGGAAGTTCTCGCCGCAAAATTTGAAGGTAGGATCAATTCGAGCAGAAATTCACGATTTGGTCACGCTTGCTTCACGGGGAGCCTGCGTGATGAGGGCACGGGGCTTATTTGAGTGCTTAGGGGTCTATCACCGTGGCTACTACAAGCAGCCTTCTGCTTTTATCCTGATCCTGCTTCCGTCGTGCATGATGTTTACAGGCCAGTGTGACTCGTGGACAATCGTGGTGTGACCAACCCCGAAGAATCTGCCACTCCCCCACTCCAATTGAGGTAAGGCCTGGTACTGGTACTATTATTATTACTACTACTACTACTACTACACCACTACTATTATTACTACTACTACTACTGCTACTCCTACCACTACTACTACTACTACTACTACTACAACTACACCACTACTATTATTACTACTACTGCTGCTACTCCTACCACTACTACTACTACTACTACTACTACTACTACAACTACAGGCGCAAACCCTACCTATCGCCCTTGTGGGCGCAAACCCTACCTATCGCCCTTGCGGGCGCAAACCCTACCTATCGCCCTTGCGGGCGCAACCCTATCTATACTGCCCTTGCAGGCAGAACCCCTAAACCCTGACTGTGGCCCCTGGCATTGCTACTACTATTTCTACTACCACCACTCCTATCCTGTTACTACTACGACTACTTCTGCTACTACTCCTGCTACTATTATGATTACTACTTACCACTATTTTTACTACTATCACTACTACTATTCTTAAGTTCTACACCTCTTACTACTACTTCTACTACTACTACCACTGCTACCATGGCAAACCATACTAGGCCTTCCTTCAATTGTTTTTTGATATGATACTTATATGGCAGATTCCTCGGGGTTGGGTGTGACAGTGTCTTGAAGCTTGTGCGGGCCACTGTCTCTAAGCCAATTTGGAGCCTTCGCTGCGGCGTCCACCATACTTTTACAAAACGTTCGTGCAACTCCTTCCAAAAACTCATGAATTTGAAAGCTGTGGCTCAACTTCAGGCCTCAATTTCCAATTAGCACTGAAGAGTTTGGCGTAGGAGTTGCAAGGCTACTTAGAAAGGGTGGTCATTTGCCAACCCCGGAATTCTTGAGCCTCCGAAGGCCGCTCCCGACCCCCCACCCGACCTGCTCCTAACATCACATATCCCCGACATTGCCCGCATCGCGGCACCGTGCCCTGGAGGGCAAGATTTGGCGACCTGCCGAAACAACATCGATATTAATCATGTCCGCTCCCACAATGAGTACGGGCTACAAAAGAGACACTGCGAACTGGTCATCTCTCCCGGCACCTCTCCGGTGGCAGACTCAGACTTTCCCTCTTAAACTTATGATTGGAGGTGCCAGGAACTTCCGATATGGGTTGGACATGCATGGGAGGGGGGGGCGTTATCCGTCGAGGTGGGCCTCAAGCCTGAAATAAAATCCTTCGGGCCTTAGCCGCAAACTTAAAATCTTGGTATGCCTCCTCAAGCGCTGTCATTGCCAGCCCTCGCCTCCCACTATCACAGTGGGAGGCTCAGACTTTGTCGTCTTTGTCGTCGAAACCACGCCTCCCACTATCACAGCGGGCGGTCTGGCTTTTGCGTCTTTGTCGTCACCAGCCCTCGCCTCCCAATTAATGGCACCTCAGACTGTGTCGTCTTGGTGGTCGAAACCTGGTAACGCTCGCCTCCCACTATCACTCAGTCCACCGGGGCCAACAACACACACGCAATAAAATGCTGCACACGGCCACAGAAAACCGATAACAACATCCTGAATGAAGAATCGATGAACATAAAATTTCATGATTGAGCCCCTAGCTTCCACTTTACCGCACCCGACCCCTATCTTCCGCAAAGAGGTGGTGCTCAGAGTAACACCCACGCCCCCCGGTACATCTTCAGCCTGTCCTTATCCTTTAGCCCAACCTCACATGAGATCATGAGATGCTCCTGGGACGGCCTGATCATGTGAAAGCTCCGTGGTTACCTGTCTACTTTGGACAGAAGATAACAGTAATAGGGGTAATCAATACCAGAATTCCTGCATGCTTGTAGGTAATGGCCTCCAGGTGAACACCACAGGTTACAGGCAATGGCCATTTCAGTAAAGCACGTCATCAATACATCTTGACTTTGAGTCGATGGCTGCTCAAGGGCAGACTCTGCGACCTCGATGCCCTTCTGGTCGTTCTGAGCTGTACCTAGGAGCATCGCCAGTTTGGAGATCCAGGTATTGGGCTGTCGTGCTGCATCCGGGATCTTAGCTTCATTGCATGCCTACCACGGCTCCCCCACAAGTGCTCCTAAAGCCTTTGTCTCGGGTCCTAAGCACTGCACAGGCAGCGTGCTCTTGGGTCCCAACAGTGGGCCTTGACCAGCAGTCGCAATGCGTTCGACCTCAGCAGCAAACAGGGACGGACTTGTGATGCCAGACAATTTCTTGTCCATGACTCTGGTGCCCTCAAAGAAAGAGGCTGTCCGGGCAAGCTGTTCTTTGTGCGGTAGATTGCCATTGCATCTTCTGCCGCCTGCCGAGGCAGCTTCCAAAAGCTTTTGCAATGACCTGGGCCCTTCTGAAGCAATTCTGCGAGCCTGCAGCATCCTCATGTCGTCCTCACTGCACAACTGACGCTTTGATTCCAAGCTCCCCCCGCTTAGAGGCGTGCCTTGCACATCTTATGAAATTCTGCGAGGCTCATGAGCTCGGCGGCCTGTCCAAAGTGTCTTCTGATGACTTTGCCTTTACCCTCACTACGACTGCTGTAGCATGCTGCAGCTCTTGAGTGCTCTTCTTACTGAAAAAAAGTTACCTGTACACGGATGACTAGGATTGAACATTGCAGGCAAGCCAGTTCGTCTTGTTTTCGGGCGGGTGAGTGCCGCAGCCTCCTGTTCCAAAGCAAGCTCTGCAACCTCCAACGTACGAGATGCACATCCAGGCCGTTTGCTTCTTCACTACGAGGGGCTCCAAGACTGCGATGCTCATCTGAACAGTTCCTTCTGCAGGGCAATGACGGGTTTTCCTCCGCGTACTTGACGTCAGGCCTGCGTCGCTCGAGAATGTCGGCCGAAGAACTACGCATGAGCCTTGGAGCCAGCCTCTTCTTCGCACTCCTACCCTGAGAGGGAACTGAAATGCCGTCCTGCTTTCAGGTATCATCTTTGTCCTCCCCCCACCATTGAAAAAACCTTGCGGCCAGGGCATCATGGGTTGAATGCGCAGCCTTGCGGATCCTGAGGAAACCGGCCACCAAGGTCCAGAACACTGCATCCAAGGGTTGGGATCGAAGTGGAGCAACGTCTTCGCCCTTGGACTCCAGGACGTACTCGTAGTGCAGCAGCACTGCTGTTCGCGGAGGTCCGGTTGCGGGCATTCCTTGGGTCTTCTTCTATGGATGCACCTGTGACATGTCTGAGGGTCAAGCCCAGTGTCTTGAAAAAAACACAGTTTTTTTGTTGCTTCGAGGCCAGGCAACTTAGCCGGTGCCATGTGCGGTTGTCCAATACAAGGATATCCCCAGCCAGCGCGGGCACTCGAGACAGCGAGACCTCTCCAAATCGCAAACACTGGCAACACTCCCTTGCAGCTCTTGCACTTAAAAAAGAAGCCGTGAAGGGCACTTGAATTACGGTTGGGCCTACAGCCTCCTCTAGCTTCCAGGAATCGAAATCTCTGTGAGAGGCGGTGATGACCTCCAACTCTGCCGAATTTGAGGCTAGATCCACCAGCGGCACCATGACAGAAACTCCTTTGGCAGATCCCTGCGAGAAGCTCCAGGATTGATCTGTGCATGTCCAATTGGCGCTCATGTAGTTGCCAGCAGCACTGGAGTCAGCCCACAGCAAGTCAGCACGCTTCAGCGAAAGGCTTCCCGATGCAGGAGTGGTTTTGCACGCAGCCTCTTCTTCGATGTGGTCTCCACCCAAGTGGCCAGTGCTCATCCACATGTGTTGAGCAAGCAGCGGCAGCCAGAGCTTCTCAACTGAGCGCAGTGTGGCACTAGTCAGAGCCTGAGAGGGCACCAGGAAGATGTACTATGATGTACTACTCAAGCTGCTGTCGGCAGGGAACTGGGGACCCAGCCAAGTCCGGCAGGCGCCAGGCAGCTTCGGTGCTGAGCAGGTCGGTTGAGTCGTGGCTGCTGCGCCATGACGCACTGTGAACCTCTTGCATCAAGCTGGCCACATCGGGCATAACTCCTTCTTCGGTGAGCTTATCCCTGTGGTAGAAACACCACGTGTGCCACCCGGCAGCCGCTCCTGGCACTTGTCCACCTGAACGTCCATCATCCTCACCAGACTTTTTGTTGAAGGCCAAGGGCCCAAAGAGGAGTAAGGAGAGTGCTGATCCCCATGGACCAAATCGCGAGGTTTCCGAGCTCGGGCTCTTAGACATCTCCTGGGAATCAGTCGCTGTGCCCATGGCCCAGCTTTTGCTGAGCAGCTCGGAGTCAAAGCGCTGCTGCCAGAAGGGCATGCTCTGGCCGATCCTGGATTTCAGCTCCCACGCTTGCTGGTTTAGGGTGTCTGGCGTTTAGGGTCTAGGGATGGGGCAGTATGGGGTGGTAGACCTTTCTGTGCTGTGCTAACAGTTGCTAGCACTATGATTGCCCACATGGCCTTGTACAAGCTGCATCAAGAAGCGCCTTCAGAGTTGGGTGCTGCATGGACTGCATCACAGAGACCAGATAGCCTGAGGATTCCCCAACCAGGGCACCTGCAAGAAAGGAGCCCGGAATGAGAAGAGGCATCGAAATTGCAGAGCCAACAGCAGCGCCAAACACGTCCAAATTCAAGCCGCCTGCTGGTGTCAGCAAGGGGCGGCCTTGGAAAGTGATGCCTTCAAGGACACCGGCAAAGGGTCTGCAATACTCTTGTGCGGTGTCACGCCGGAGTGGCACCGCGCCTCGCATCAATGCAGCGCCATACATGTTCAGATGTGCGCTGAGAAGCTTTGCATCGGAATTGCTCATGCGCAGCTGGGCTGCAGAGCGTTCCTCCTCTCGCTGCAGGAGGTGTTGTAAGTCTGGGGGAGGCCCCGCATGTCTGTAGAAAAAGTAGCTGGCTCCACCTACCGTCCAAACACCTGCATGACCCAGCCAGCGCTTACCAAACCTGGCAGCTTTGTTCATGACCCAATGGCGTGGCAACCATTTCTGTGATGGCAGCTGTATCTGCCGTCTGTTAGCAATGTATGGCCCACATGGCTTGCCATACTTTCTCTGGTCAACTGATCTCTTTCCGAAGCTGAGGAGCCCGTGGCTGAGGCTGAACAAGTTGACCGACCCACATGGCTCCACATCAAGAGCATGTCTGCAAGCATGCAGAGCATGGCACACGGCCTCTTGACAAGCTAGCCCGAGCTCGTGCAGGATTTCACAGGCCTTAAAGTCAACCAGGGTCATTGCAAGAAGCCTGAAATTGTAAGATGTCTGGCCTCGCTGGAACACCGCACTGCCTGACTCATTGGTTGCATTTGCCCCATCTTTGTGCCCAAAACTGAAGGCGGCAAGCCTCCGCTACCTCATTGTTGAGGCTGGCAGCAGCTGCCACGTAATGAAGGGCCTTTCCGTATGTTTGCATGACTCCCTGTTGTGTCCAGCGCCTGTGGCTGAGATACCGTGCTCCTGAGCAGTGTCACACCACATGCGCCTTAGCTTCTCCTTTCTTGTCCCCGACCTGCTTGAAGGCCTGCCATCTATCCCGCTTCGACCTACATATGTCTGTGCCAGGCGAAGCAAAACCTCCACAGCAGCGCGCGCTGCTCGCAGCATGTTGTCCCCCTTCTGTGTGTTCTCGTAGCTGCGGGCCTTTGCACTGAAAAAATGCTAATGGCACCAGGAAAAGATGCTGTACTTAGCGCCCGGCCAGAGTGACCAGTCCCTCGGCCTAATTCGCTAAAGGCTCAGCTTTGACGGGATGCCGAGGCCGTCACAAACCCTGAAGTCCCCACCTCCCAGGCACGGTCCTTGAGCTGCTGGACCTTCCATGATAGTCTCTTAAGTATGGAGTGCTGAAGTGACACCGCTGAAACTACGAACTCTTCATGACCTCAGTATATGCGAACATCATAGTTCCCAAGGCCATGCAGGATTTTAAGTATCCACCTTATCACGCCCCCGTCCCTGTGTCATAGTCCGGCACCGCAGCTAGGGCGCTCTTTGCCAAGGAAATGACCTCAGGCCCGTCAACCCTGGCATTGGCCTGTGCGCCTATGCTTGGAGACCTGAAGTCTGATAAGCTAATCAGAAGGAAAGCTACAATGCTATTTCTACTATATCTGCTATTACTGCGATTCCTACTAGTACTACTATGTACCGCTATATACTGGGCTTTACTGCTATTACTACTATCAACTGCTTTTTACTATAGTTACTATTTCTCCTTGCGGAGTGAGCTCAGCCGCGCACCTCTTTGGGTCTCACGGCCTGCAGCAGCTTGAGATCCACCAACGCCATCATCATCGCAGCCTGAGAACGGCTCACAGGTTAGGCATGTTTTAGGTGGACCCTCACCCAGTAATAGTGACTATAAGGGATAATAACAACTACCTTAGGGTTTCCCTATATTCCTGTTATACCACTATTGCAGGGTGGGGGGTCCTCCTGAGGCACGTTGCCTTCCTCCATCTTCTGAACCCTTGCAGAAATGATAGTTTCCCAAAACAGGGAAACTCGAATATTATACCCTAAAAGTATTGTAGCCCTTGTTATAGGGACCCCCAAAAGGGTACCCCTAATTTTGGGAAACCCGAAGCCCCCAAGTGTCCTTGATACAAGGGAGCTCAAGAGGAATCCGCCTCTCCAAGCTTGTTGCCGTTGTCCCGACACCTCTCCAACTCCTTCGGTGGGCGGTAACAATTGTAAATAATAGTGAACGGCAGAATAGGAATAATTAATAACAATAGTAGTAGTAGTAGTAGTAATGATCGTGTTCCGATTAGCTTCTGAAGGGATGAAAAGAAACACGAACAAGGGTCACAGTAGCGGAGGACATGTAACCAATCGCTTTTTCTCGCGTCTTGCCTCGAGGACCCCTGTACAATGAAGGTTCCGATAAAAACCGGCGTTCTTGTTATATAAGCTGCTGCATTCCTTCGCGGGACATCTTGTGCCTGGATGGAGTTTTCATCTTTAGTTCTCCCACCATCGTGGGAGGTTCGGAAGCAGGTCGATGCCAAACTGAGAGGCCAGCAGCGGGCGGCCAATGACAAAGTACCCTGCATAGGTCGAGAAGACGTTCAAAAACAGCCAGGCTCCGATGATCTGAAGTCTTGCTCCAAGCACAAGCCCAAGCGGTGAAGCATCAACCTTCCCACCAGACCGACATTTCTGCAGAAGCTCTTCCACAGCGTCCCGGTTAGTGGCCAGCCACGTCCCACCAGCAAAAGCGTTGAAGACAGTGTCGATTGCCTTGTCACTGCGAGCACCCCGTCCCTTGAGCCGAGCTCGAAATCCCTCTCTGTCAATGGATCCCACGTTGCCAGGCCACACTGTGTTCATGTCGCAAAGCTCCAGGACCTGTTCAGTCTCATCCTGAGGGATAGAGAAATCGAGTGCCCACGGAAATGGATCGTAGCTATACTCCGATTCACCTCCAGCAGAACGCACCGTTCTTGCACGAAGTTTGTTCGTGCCCTTTGGTGCAACAAAGCCGTTGAGCAACCGTGTGCTGAGAGTCCAGACGGCTATGAGACAAAGTGCAGGGAGCAACCGGCCTGCCATGTGAACCTACCTACTTACTATACTTGGTACAATCTAAGTCTACTTAAGCAATTGAAGTTCGAGCCAAGCTTCCATGCGCAGCTAATGGCAAAAGCTGGGCAGGTGCTGCCGGTAAAGACATGACGTGTGCTTTATGGCTTGGCGTGGCCGCCGCCTCAGAGGCACGGTTGTAGGCCGCATCCAAGTCGTCACGGCCCTTACATGCACTGTGCTGATGGGAGAGGCCGACTTCAACATGGACTGGCTACATCTGCAGGCACGCCTGGTAGGCAGATACGATGCATCGCAAGGCTCTGGCAATGCCACTCCTGCAGAGCAATACACCAGGCTCCTCTAACAGCAAGGGCCATCTGCATGCATGCCTATCTCCAATTTCTCTGAACATTTGAAGGGCGTCCGCCGCAGCCTTAGCTTTGCAATTCGCAAGGTTGGACCGCACACAGCAAGCTGATTTATGCTGAGCTGGCTGGCCCTTTCGGCTGCCTGATATTTGCTTAGGATCGGCCGTAGGGATTTCTTGCAGTTATATAAGTTGCATACGGAGTCATGGGGGGAGCTCTTTCAGATGGGATCCTATAGAGCTACAGAGGTCTGGCGTAATGCCTAATTATATCTTTACTGATGAGCAAGAATGCCTCGCCTGAAATGCCTCTTCGTCGCATGCCTCTTCTGCTTCTTTCAGCAGGGCGCTAGCCTGGCAGCGCTGTCACTGCCTGTTTTGCATTTCAAATCAATGCACGTGAGGCATCAACCCCCGCCTCCTTTCCGACCTGGGCCCTGTTTTCGTCCAGGGGGTCCAGCTGAGGTTCCCCCTCCTGGCAGGCGGCGTCGCTGCATCAGAGTGCCCGCGCAGGAATTGTCACAGTCAGTGCTGACATCTAGCGGCCCGGCATCTGTCAGATCGCAAAGCGAGATGTTGCGCTTGATGACCTCCCAGGATATCTTCAAGGACACCAGTGTTGAACAACATGGCTGACCCAGGTCAATACTCCATAACCGGCAATTGCCCCTAATAACAGTCTCCTTTCATTCCACATGCGGCGACCCACCTTTCCCTGCGGTGCTCCCAGGGCATGTTCTCTATCGATTATGGCGCTCTTTTTCCGACTGCGAACCCCAAGTACTGTAACCCCTGAACCCTAAACTCTGAACCATGATCTTGCCAGCTGACCTGGTGACCAATACCATGATACCTCTCGTTAATCTGCTTAGGGTGGCTGACTGACAACCAACTTTGAGCTTACAGCGTCTTGCTTTTGAAAAGAAATGTGCTTAGGCCAACACTGGACTGGCAACAGTGAACTCCATGCGAAACCTGAATATACCCAGCCCCCAGATCATAGCTTACAGCGCGTGACGTGCAGCGAAACATGTTAACTGCTCACTTGCTTCTGCCTACCCTAACTTGAAAACACGACGTTTTTGCTTCCTGCCGCTTCCTTCCTGTCATTCACCCCCTGTTTTCCGTTTGGGAGCTTTGATTTCTGCTCACTTGAGTCAGTACTAGCAGTGCAAGAAGTCATCATCGTTTCGACAAGCACCGTGGTGCTCCTCCTCATGTCAGCGTTGCCGTCGCCCCCGACGTGGTCGCGGTGGGGGTGGTGGCGGCAGCGGCGGCGGTGAGCAGGATGGCGGCGGCGGCGGTGGCGATGGCCGCTGGCGGTGGTTGTGGGGGTGGTGGTTGCGGTGGTTGTGATTTTCCCTGTGCAGCGGTCGCGGAGTGGCAGCAGCGGTAGAATACCTGTAACTTTAGCAGAAGCAATACCAGTAACGGTATGTAGTTGTCGGGCTTCTGTTGTAACAGCAATTACCATATTCTAAACAACAGTGGCCATGAACCATCATTATGGCGAAGTAGAAGTAGTCGTCGCCGTAGTGATCGAAAAACCTTGTAAATTACGGCAGTTCGAACAGCAAGTCGCATAACCGACCAGCGTAAACGCACGAGCTCGTAGCCTCCTAGTACTAGTACTCGTCGTAGTGGTAGCAGTAGTAGTAGTAGTCGTAGTACTTTTTTGAGGCTCGCTAGGTTGCACGAAGCAATCGGGACTCGAAGAAGAAGAAGAAGTAGTAGTAGTAGTAGTAGTAGTAGCAGTAATAGTAGTAGCAGTAGTAGTAGTAGTAATAGCAGCAGCAGCATGTAGGCGCTGTAGCAGTAGCAGTACTAGTAGTACTAATGATATTCATAGTAGTGGTGTAGCAGCAGCAGCAGCAGCAGCAGCAGCAGCAGCAGCATCAGCAGCATGCAGTACTAGTAGTCGTAGTAGCATCACAGCACACCTTGAATAGAACATCCATGCACCACCTTCTGCACCCTTCATCCGAGGATCGTCACAGTACTTTGGAGGTGTCAAGTCGTGCAGGAATCCTTCCGTCCACCGCGATACTAGTACTAAGCAAGCAAGTGGTACAACTCCTCGAAAGGGGGCGAGGGGAGTGGATGGAAAGTTCGGAAGTAGGTACCAGATGTCTGTCGTCGTCACACCTCTCAGCCGTCGGACTGGACCTTGTCGTCTGTCCTCTTCAGCCCCGGGCTCTGACCTTCTAAGCCTCTCTGATTGGCTGTTTCTCAGGCTCCCCCACCCTGCTGCAGTAGGTAACGTAGATAGCTGGCGCCCAGAGTCCCCACCGCCACCCAACATTCTGGAGGGTGTCCTTGTTTCAGGTTCACAGGTAAGGAGCAAGCACATTCCAAGATGCTGTTACCCACATCGGTATGACTTGCCACACATTTTCAGCACATCTTCAGGTGGCACCAGTGGTACTCATGGCTTTTTGGAGTGCATCCTAGTGGCTGCACAATGCCGGAATGCTGAATGGCTGGGCTGACACCTGAAGACTGAAAGACCAAGGACCTGAAGTCGTCGCGTCAGCCCTCGCCTCCTGTGTGCAGTGGAGGCTCAGGCTTTGTCGTCGTCTAGCCCTCGCGTCGTCTGGCCCTAGTATGCATGATAACATATGCGAGTAGAAAAGACGATGTAATGCATGTTGGTACGGTACATTCTCAAGCGCCTTCGGGGTTGCTGCTCTGGGGGAGCGCAGAGGGCGCGGAGACGCAAACGGAGAGACTGACCGTGGAGCCATTGCAGCCCAATGCCTTTTAAAGGAAGACGCAAGATACTGTAGGGCTCAGGGGACAGGGTTGGCAGTGCAAGCACTTTACTGCGACCCTGCAACAGCTCTGGGCAGGGGCTTCATTGCTTGCCTTCTGGGCCAGCTTTGTGTTGCTTGGTGCTGCTGTTATCTTACGGTTCCTAACTGGTGAAATCCTGATTTGCTGCTATCCGAATGCTTGTTTTGTTATTTCTGGCCATGTTTCTGACAAGCCATAGCTGCGGGTCAGCGCGCTTACGACAGCGCCTCAGCCCGAGTGTACTGCCCTGCAGTCGGAGCCTACTTCAAGCACAAACTCAAGCAAGCTCCCTTGTGGATTTTGGCGGCTGCCACAGGTCACGCGTCTTTGAGCCTGGCCCTCCTCAGTGGCGCAATCAGGCCTGAACAAATTCAGGTTGCTTGGGCCAAGCTATGTTCCTTCCCTTGCGACTGGCAGTGCCAGCAGTTGGGCCAAGGCGTTGGGCCACGTTCTCCTCAAAGGCTTCTTGGGAGAAGCGATGCCCTGAGCAAGAGCTGTCCCTCCCGCTTGGCTGTGACGCATGCAGAGAAAACAGATGTGCAAAACGCAGGGCCGGATTGCCAGCTGTCAAGCAGCGGCATCTGGAACTGGGAGCCCTGCGCACAGCCTCTCGTGCAGCTGTGGCGATGGCCAGCCGATCGCCCGTACCTGAGGAAACGGCCCGACAAGATGAACAAGCGTATTCGAACTCCGCAAGCTTCAGCAACCCATGTCGCACTCATTTCATCCAGCGCTAGATGAAGCTTGAGGGCGTAGTCTTCGTCATCCTTGCGTGCCGACTTCAGATCACGCCACATACAGGAAAAAAAAAAAAAAAAAAGCATCTTAGCTGTTCGACCAATTGCAGGAACTTGGGCCCCAACTTTGGCGAGCAGACCTGTCCGTCGGCCATCGGGCAAAGGAGTCACCTAGCGTCTGCAATAGAAGACCTATGCGTTAAAGGTGGCGATTCTCGGGGCTGTGGCGATGTCCATGGCGGGCCCAGCAGACTTGTGAGCAATGACCTTGGCTGTTTGCGCTGCCCTAGCTATGACGCGCAAATGGTGCTAAACTGCTCTGCAGCAGATAGCAGCAGCAGGTATGGCTCACAGGGATTAGCCAATGGGCTGCAGTGCTCGGACCCAACTTGCTTCACATCTCCCGTGTGCACCCGCAAGACCCCAACGGAAGACTCTGGCATGATCAGCTTGTCAAGGAACCCCTAGGAGTTTAGACGATAACCCCTA